TACAAAATTAAATAAACATTAAGGTTAAATTAGGTTTTATAAAAGAAAAACAATGTTAAAGAAGTAGACAAATCACACAATATAACACTTAATCATTCCTTTCATATATTCTATTTACTTTGTATAAAATACCAAAGGAAATTAATTGACAACATTTTTTGTATTTTCTATACTAATAGTATACCACATATAGCATTGTACTTTGAAAATGGTGTGATAATAACATATTTTATAACAAACCCGAAACTACCAAAACACAATGTTATTGTACCAAAACACAATGTTATTTTATCAATACATTATACTTCAAAGTATCTATAAATTATAAACATAGAAACTTCTTCAAATAGATAGTACATTGCTGTTGTATGCTATAATCGAGACATAGACAATAACATACTTTTCACAAAATGCAAACATGGAATCATAACATATATACAATCGTTAAAATTCCATAAAAACAATTTTTTTTAAAACAAAAAGAAAATATATATATATATATATATATATATATATATAAAATCATAGGTTTTATGAAACCTACGGTTTTATATACAAACCTACGGTTTCTTTTTTTTTTTTCAAAAAAAAAAAATCACAAAATCGACAATATATACAAATGTTTATTGGTTATAATTTTTTTTAATAAAAAACCAAAAAAATAAAATAAAATAAAACCGTAGGTTTCCAAAAAAACCTACGGTTTCGCTATTTTTTTTTTTTTTTTTGAGTTTTATAAAAAAAATCATGAAATAATACTATATATACAATTCCGATCATGTTGAATTAATTTTTTTTTTAAAAGAACGAAAAAAAAATTCCGTACGGTTCATACGAAACCGTAGATGTATAAGTCGACACTGCACAATCTGTGCATTGGGCACTTGTACACCGTAGGTTTCGTATGAAACCTACGGTTTTATTTATTTTTTTTTCGATTTTTTTCAAATAAAAACTTAACCCCATATACAAAACCTACTCCTAATCACGAACACGGTAAAATTTTGATGAAAAGTAGACAAATCTGGTTGTTCTTCGGGTGCTCCATTGAGAGAAAAAAGTAGGCAAACCAACAAAACAATAGTGAAAAATGACCTAATCTGAAAAATTAAACAATATATACTTTAGGCTAATGAGCCACGAAAAAGTAGACTGGTAGTCAAAACAGTAGTCCATTACCACGAAAGAGTAGATTTCAAGCAAAACAGTAGTCAACGCCCGTTGACCGCAGTCAACTGTATGTTGACTACTCTTTCGTGGACTATTTTTGGCTAAGATGTATTTTTTTGACTATTTTTTGATAAGTCATTACCCCTTAAAAAATTAATAATAAAATAAAAACCAAATGGTAGTCTAACATAGGTCTAGGGCCATACAACCCATATAGGGCCCAAAACTTCCTAGCTCCAAGACTATGGCCCAAAATCATTAAAAAAATCAACCACAATAACTTCTAATTGATTCTTATTTGATTTAAAAAACCACATTGATTGATTGATATAATATAATCCAAAGATCTGTCTCACCCATAACATACTCTAATCAATCTTAGGCCTCGTTTGTTTTTTCTACAAAAGTACTTTTTGAGCATTTTTCCCTTCTGACGGGTAGACGTTTCTCAAGTGCACGTCTTCTTCCGCAAACATTAAAAAAGACAACATTTAACCACTTCCAAAACAAACAACACCTTAATGTATTTCTAAGAGCAGCATGGAGGAGGTGTAATTGACATTAATTCAAAACAAACCATTAACCAACATTCCCACAAACAAGATTTGTAAATCTTTTCCTAAGTTAAAGATAATGCAAATAATATTTATAATGATGAATAGTGATTCAGCTTTCCACCAACTTGGCTACTATATTTCTTGGTTTACCTACCAGACTGCGATCCACTAGCAATCACTCTTTATGGTGTAGCGAAAACTTGGTACAAGACTGATATCTTTACTAGAAAGGTTTGTAGATCACAAATAAAACTTACAACTTACAATGATGTTGATATACAAGTCATACCGACAATCTAACCCTAACATAATGTAAGTGGAAGAAGTCGACTGGTGAAAAATAAAGTATGAAAAGTGTTAGGCTAGTAATTATAGGGGTACCCATGGAAAAAGCATGTGACTGTACATGGTTCACGTTTAAATAATTAGGACATGTTTTTATGGACAAGTAAATGAAAGATAAACTAAACTAAAAGAAACTCACCTTAAAGTGGGCACAACATTCGATCCATTAGGAGTTTGGAGGCCCACGAATATAGCATCGAAAATGCCTACAGGAGGTTCGCCTATCTATCATTGCCAAATCCTTTGTTTAGAGCCTCACTTATAATTTCCTCCAATTTTAGCTAAATTTCCTTGTTTTTTTTAATTTAACTTATATTATTTTTATATTTTTTTGTGGCAGGATATTTTTGGTTTTTTCCTTTCTTATTTTTGTGTTAATTTAGGAAATTTGATGTGAATTTTAATGTTTAGAAATTGGAAATGTGGATTAAGCTTTTACGAATAATATTGTTTATTTCCTGTTTTGTACTATTTCCTCGCATCGTCCTCTTGATGTGAGTTTTTAATATATTTGTTGTTTAAAGAAAAAAGGAATAATATTGTTTATTGTTCGTATAATACCTCCGGCTTTTCCATTTTGGGTATATACAACCATAAATACGAAGTATATTTTACTAATAAATACGAATGTTCTCATTCTCAATTAGATTTTCTATTTTGGGTATATACAACAATATATACGAAGCATATTGTTCTCATTCTCAATTAGAGTAACACTTAGATCCAATTGAACGTTTCGAACACATACACCCAATCAGAATCTTCGAGTCTTACACAAAACATGCATTTTGTGTTTTAATTTGGCTCAAAAGAAGCATGATTTGATCCACCTTTTTTTTTTTCATTTTTCTAAATTAAACAAGTAACTAATATGTTTTTATTATATTAAAAAGGGTATAATTATAAAATAATTACTTTTTACCTTTAAATATTTTGGTGCTTATTTAACATAATAGATATAGAATGTCCAATACAACCCACCATTTAAATAAATAGTTCGAAATCAATACCTCTAATAATTCCTACTAATCTCCGTCGTTCCTACCCCAAATGGAAATGTTCCACAATAGGGTCTATTAACGAGGGGCAAATAAACCCTCTCTTGTTAAATAACTTAACAACCTTTAAAAGATCTCAAAAAATAAAGAAATAAAATAAAAAATTACATGTTAATTTAGTTTTTCACAAATCTAAGATGTACGTCTCTCTTTTTTCTTTTCATTGACTTTTGACGATCATGGAATAAACTGCAAAATAAAAATAATACGAAAAAAATGATCAATACAATTGTTTGCAAAGATAATAAAAAGAAAGATTTGTAAAATAAGCGAAATAACAAGAGCATAAAGATTTGAATATGACTAAAGATTAAAGAATGAAGATGGCTTGTAACTTGTTAAGGTATATTCATACCCACTTTTCTATACGTAAGACAAACTCTTTTTTGTTATGTAAAAGGAAAGCAAAAGCTTATGTTGACCTTTCTTCTCTTCTAACTTAATTGTATGTTTTATATCATTTTTATTTTTTTTGAAAATTTATAATTATTTTTATAAAATTCTTTTAAACAAATAAAAACAAAAACTTGTAATTTTAAGTTTTAGCTTCCAATTAGTTTTACCAAAGATACTATGTGTCTATGTAATCCTTCTATAATCATGAAACAAACAACTTTACATTTAGTTGATGTTGATCATATTGACTCATTTAAAATAGAACAAAATACAAAAATTAGACATATATCACGAAATTTTATAAACTAGTATGAAACACACATTTACTGCATATATATATATATATAATATAATATATATATATATATATATATATATATATATATATATATATATATATATAATATATATATAATACCAAAATTAGACATAATTTATGAATTTTATAAACTAGTATGACGTTATTTTTATAAGTAGTAATGACTTTGTCAAAATATTTGACAAATTTATAAAAGATTCAATATAAGATAAGACAACTTGACGTATTGTTGATCTCAATACGTAATTGATAATATCTTTGGAAGAATATAGAATACAATTCTTTCTTTTTGCATTTTGAAGGAAAAAAAAATATAGCCCCCCTTCCATTTTTTATCTCCTTCTCCCACTTCAGTGACAAATTGACATTTTCTAAAATAATTAATAAGTGAACTTACAAGAAATATTTAATATAGTGTATTGATAAACCAATTGAGCTTTTTCTGTGAGTTTTTTTAAATATACATTTAAAAGTTAGTTTTTAATTATACATCTAAAGTTTCTTTTATATTCTTTTATATTTTTCATCTCTATGTTAGTGACTAATCAAATTCAGTGTCAATTAGAGATGAAAATATGTTGTTTTTAGTAAAATTTCTCAACTCCCAAAAAATGAATTGAAAGAGAGGCAACAAAGTGTAGACAGTTAAAGTTGAAGGGGGTACAAGTTATGATTAGCGTGATTGTGACGCATCTCGGAAACTCAATTTTTGAAGGATTTTTGCAAATGTCTACCTGTTTAAAGAACCTTTAATTTTTAGAGTATCTTGACATATTAATTGAAAATGTACCTGAGCTAGCTTACAAGCTAAAATAAATAGGTTATTTTTATGGTTTATTAAACAGCAAATGACAATAAATAAATTATAATAAACAAACTTATTTTGGGCTATTAATTAGTTAGTTTTTCAATTAGTCAATGATAATCTCACTTGATGATAATATTATTAATTTCTTTTTGTTAATAAAATGTTTTAAATATGGACAAAAAGAATTTTATGTACAACTTTATGGCATGCATATAATATAAGAAAAAACATTAAATTAACAATTATGTAAATAGAAAGAGAAGCATAAAGGGGCACGTACCCGGAATAAAAAAATTATATTTAAAGAATAGCAGAAGAAGATGGCGCCGGAGTATATATGACCAAATTCAACACGACGGAGCAACGCTCCTATCCTCCTCCTTGGCAGCTCTCTGCACCACCAGCGGCGGTTGCTGAGCTTCTTGTGGCAGCAAAAGCTGATGCGGTTGAACGTGGAGTTGGTGGTGGTGATGGTGGTGGTTTTGTTCTTGCGGCGGCTGTTGGTGTTGGATCTGGTACATGTTGTTATTCACATAAGAACTACCTAACGCTAAAGTTGACATGGCTGCCTGAGCTGTCATCGGGCTAAACCCACCACCACCTGAACCGGCATCAAATCCGCCGCTAAACCTTACTAGCTCACCCGGTTGTTGCTGCTGTGACGGCGGCGGCGGTGGCGGTGGTGGTGGTTGGTGCTGCTGTTGTTGCTGTTGCTGTTGCTCATAACTCCTTAACATTTCCTGTTGTTCTCTAGAATTAACAACCGCCACCAGTTGTTGTTGCTGAGCTTCAAGTATTTGCTGGTGGTGCTGCGGCTGAGCGTCTCGGAAAATCGGCTGCATGTTGTAGGGTAACACCGGCACCGATGATGACGTCGGCATGTTTCCGATTTGCGGGATGAAACCTGGATTTAAGATTGGTAACATAGCGGAAGGGCCGATGTAATTAGATAATTCGAGTTTAGCGTTGTGTAAATCCGATTGAACTTGTTTTAATCGGTGTTGAAGAACAGAGATTAATCCGACGCATCCGTACACCGGATCTCGTAACCTTGCTTCGGCTTCATAAGCTAAGGAATTAACGGCGTCTTCTCGTTGAGTTGTGTTGAGTTCGTTGAGGATTTTGGCGACGTTACTTGCTCCGAAGACTTTGTGTACGTTTGCGAATTTTTGAGGGTGATCAGGTGGGAAGTATGGTGCAAACACGCATTCCTGTGTGCATTTACGGCGTAAGAACTTGCAAGCTGCGCATGGAGAATTTGAGGACGACATTTTAGATCTCCTTCTTCTTCAATTCTTCCTTTTCACCTTTGAAACTGCATGTTAGGGTTTCATTCACAAAAGGAATTGAATTAATGATTCATGTGATCGATAATGTTGAGAATTGATTAGTACAAATGAATGAATAATTATAACATCGCATTCAGCGAAGGTTCGTTTACCGATTTTGGAGAAGCAGGTGATGTAATTAAAGCAAAATTTCGTTTATCGAAACCAGCGATTCTAAGTCAAATGACAGGATTTATTTAATAAAATTTGGCACAGTTGAATTTACTAAGATGATAATTTTGAATATTTCCAGAACGATGCGTACACACGAAGAAGGATAACTCGAAATACACCATGAAACTTGATTTTCTGTGAATCAAAATGATCAAAAATTCATAAAACGAAAACAAGAGAAAACAACCGAATCGTATAAACTTCAAAAGCTAGAAACTGCTCGTAAATCGATCGTTTTAGAATTTAGATCCAATTCTTCGAAACAAAATAGTAAAAGAGGAAATTAGATCAGCAGAATCAAACAGATATTGAAAAAAAAAACGTTCGATTCCATTAATTTCTCTAAAAAAACCTCATAGACGATGTTGATCACCCTAATATTTTCCTTCCTAACCAGAATTCACAAAATGCAAATCAAAGAAAACGATTGTTTAATTAATGAGTCACATATCAAATATGTAAATATATATTCTAATCCAGCGAGAGATTCATCATTCATGTACCTTGTTAGAAGCTATATATACGAGAAGTTGTGCAAAAAACTATCCGATCTTCAACATCTTCTAGATCCCATCCAATATGTAATTAACAAACAGTGGACTCAATCAACACAAACACGCACAAATTAAGCTTATTGTAGAAGAGTGAAAACCATTACCAGAATGTTGACGACGTCATTCGTCCCTCTGTGCGTGTATATTTGTATATGCATATATATTACTACGTGTTAATTATGAGTCTGAATGAGTGTATGTGTGTGTGGGTGTGAAAGAGAGAGAAAGAGTATGGTGCATTCTCCGCCGTCCGACTTGAACAGAAGCGTATTTTGACCTTCCGATTTGAAAACCGGAGTTTGTTAGTTGCTACACTGAGAGAGAGAGAGAGAGAGAGAGAGAGATTCTAAACGATGATATAAATGCAATCTGAGTTACCTATTTGTCCCTGCTTTCTAGTCTCTAGTCTCTACGCCTTTGGTACCCTTTTTTTAAGAGTAATTATAGTTTTGGTCCCTTTACTATATAAGAATATGTAGGTTTAGTCGTTAGTTTTGGAAATTTAACATCATTGATCTTCGTGGCAAATCCATTACAACCTTTTCTCCCTTGGTTACCGTTTTCTCTCTACCCTAATAAATGAAAATGTTATTACCACTTGTCCTTCTTTCATTCAATTGGTCACATGTCATTTTGTCATAATTTTGAGATATATATTTATTTTCCACTTGTCATTTATTTTATTATTCATTTTCAATATATCATTAATTTAGTTTCCATAAATTAAACCTACCATAATAACTATTAATTTCAAATTTCAAATTTGAAATTTAAAATTTCAATTTCAATTTCAAATAAATTTACACTTTAAACTTTTGTATTTAACATTTTGTTATAATAATCCGTTTAGTACACGGATCTGACAATTAAACACATAATTTTAATTTATTAATTTTTTGCATGTTTTTTTTTTCTCATAATTTTCACTTACTTCATATTTCAAATTCAAATAAACTTCTCATTTAATCACTCCTATTTAACATTATGTTTTAATCAACCCGTATAATATACGAGTATCACAACTAGTAATTTACTATACAAAAATATGTAGGTTTAGTCGTTGAGTACCTATAATTGTTCCAAAAATTAAAATAAGAACAAACAACTCATTTCTTTCCTTTTTCCTCTATCTTAATTTTAGTGTCATCAACACATTTGATGTAGTTAAGATTTATTCGATACAAGTTAATTTTAGTTTGGCTACATTCAGAGACTTGAGGTGTGGCACACTTGGATATTTAGTATGAACTTGGGCTTACAGGTATCCGAGTGTAGCGCCCTTGGTGGGGCTCAAAGAGGCATCATCTCTAGCGGAGTCTAGGGGCAACGCCCCAAGCAGGGTTCAAGGGGCAAAGCCCTAGTGGCGATTGTGACTTTTCTTGCCAAAATTAATCGAAATAACTACTTTTGTCTTTATATATTAAGGGGATTGATGAAGAAAGACATGCAAAATTGCATCATTATTTTGTCGAATGTTTGTCTCACAAGAACACGAAACACAACAATTTATTATCTGTTTGCGATTTACATTATGTCTATAATCTGACTCGATTTCTTGTATTATTCCACAAAATGATTCATAAACCCAGACATAGGTCGAATTACAGATTTTGGAAAGTGTTCCTATATTATCCATGATATTATCTAATTACTTGTATTGAACTGATATTCAAATCCCTAAATCTAACACTTTCTTCCCCATACTCTCCAATCATCATCTATGATCTCCCCCACAACATCATTGATGTGTGCATAATTAACAACATATTTAATGCATATTTCTAATACTTTTAGCTACAATTATGCTTAATATGGACCAAAGATACGTAATATGTTTAAATTATGTTTTGTAATGACAAAGACTTGCTCGGGACAAAAAGGGAGCATACGAGGAGTTGGAAGCGGGAAACGGGAGCTAAAACAAAAGAAGAAAAGAAGGAGACTGAAGACCATGTCGTGGTGATGTAACCACCATGTGATGATTGGATTATTCGTGACCCATATGCTGACTTGGCAAACACGGAATTAACAAGAGGACCACATCGTCGTGGCGGTCAACTGCGACGTGGTGATCAGATTTCCACAATTATAAAATCCCAATTATTAGGTCGAAATCAGGGGCATACATTCAGTTTTCTGAGGTTAATAGTGATTAATAACCCTTAGAAACCCAGAAGAAAGTCGAAATTCAAGTGAAGCTCAAGGATTGAAGAAGATTTAGAAGATATTCATCATTGATCTAGTTGGTTTGCTTATTAAACTTATGTCTATCTTATTTTACTTAAATCTATTGTGTTTTTCTGCTACAATGAGAGGCTAAACACCTTTTACTTCTGCTTAGTGAAGATGAACTTGATCTATATGTGTTGATTTCAATTATTGGATGATTATTATTGATTTTGCTTGTTTTTGATATATATAAACCCTAACATGTTTTAGTTCTAGTTTATATTGCTTATAAATCAGATTGTAACACCCCGTTTATTAAATAAACAAATAAATTAATTAATGATTGTATAGTAGCCCTAAAATCAATAATTATATAGCAAGGTGTTGGTCTCGAGGAGCTAATTATCACAATTTTAAAGATTGGGGGTTAAAAGTGTAAAATCCACATTCAGGTTGTAAATAATTATGAAGACAGTGCCTGCTTGGTAACAACTAGGACTCAATATGAAAGGAATTATGGAAGCAAGGGATAAAATGTAAATTCTGGATTTATATTGTAAAGATTTATGGAATCAGGGGCTAAAGGGGTAAATATTGGATTAAATTTGAAAAGATCCTATGGGGAGGGACTGGACTTGTAACTATGCAAAAGTTTTAAAGTGGACGGGGTTTATAACCTGCCACCCTCGCCATGCCAGACCCTAACCCTAGAGACACACAGTCACCACCTTTCCTTTCTTCTGTTGTCGGCGTCGCACCACCCTTATGTCGCCCTCACCGCTGGCGACCGCCACGGCTGTTGGAGTCGGAGGAACCACCACCATTCACCCAGTCGTTCTCCAACCACATAGCACCATAAAGCGACGTTGAAGACCGGTAAGGAAGGGAGCGAAACTGCATCAGAGAATATTGAAGAAGGTGTGGCGTCGTGTTGCCACCGTTCATGACTCTCCATCCGCCGCCATCGATGCCAAAGCCGAAAAAAAACCACCAGAATGTTTGTTGTCGCCATTCCTACTGTGGCTACTTGACCGGGAACAAAGAGAAACCACCGCCAACCGTGAGGTGGTGGCTACCATCGCAAGACCGCCGCTAGGGTTGCCGCTGTCGTCGCCGCGCACCACCAGGCGGGTGGTTGCGTCCAAATTTTTGAGCAAGGGTGTGTGGGTGTGTGTTTTTGCTTCTAATACGCATGTGTGTGTGTGTTGTTTGGCCGGGAAAAATCAAGAACAACCACCACCACCACGTACCACCACCGACCACCATAAGGGTGGCTGTGTGTGTGTGTGTTTATCTTTAGTGTGTGTGTTTATTTTTTGGGTTAAAGCATTGTAAAATGTAATTAGAGATTAGAATAATGAAAAGAAACTCAAAACCACCACCGTGAGGTGGTGGCTGCCGCCTCCTGCTGCCACCAACCGCCGTGTTGGGTGGCGGTGTGCTTTTGCTTGCGTTTAGTTTTTTTTTTGTATTCTTGGACAAAAGTGGACTAGAAACCATAACCACCACCATGAGGTGGTGGCCGCCGCCGTGAGCCGCCGTTGACCACCACTACCCGAGGTGGTAGTAGGCGGTGCCCGACTAACGAAACCCTAACAAGCTTAGTGAAACCCCAATGGGCCTAATGAAACCCTAATTGATCTAAAGATTTAGTTTTGGGCCTATTGGGCTATTATTGGGTTGGAAACCCTAATTAGGGTTTAGAAAACCCTAATTTTGGAATCATTGGCTTGGACTTATCGGGGCCCGCATTTTGGGCCATTGGAATTGGACTATGTATTAAGCCCGATCACACCATATGATTTGTCTAGTAGAGTGATGGACTTAATGGATTAAGTCCTTAATGGGTTAAGTGAGAAACACTTAACCCTAATCGTCATTTTATGTGAAAACCCTAATTTCACTTGGGCCTTAAGTTGGGCCAACCTATTGGGCTTTGGTGATTGGGATATTGATGGGTCATTCAAGAACAATCATTTGGACTAGAATAATTTGATGGGCTTTAGGGTAAGGCCCATGTGAGGGTTTAGGACCAATTTGGAAAAT